CATGTCTACATTTCAGTTTATGATAAAAAATATATTTAACATTCCAATATTTTATTTAGAAAAATAATAGTGAAAATCGGCTTTTAAACCTGGATATTGTTTACGTTATGTGCAGTTACTATCAGGATTCTAAATCTACAGGTGTTTGACTTCCAGCTTAATCTTTTTATTTCACAATAGAGAACTTCTTAAAATCTAGCATGTCCAGAATGAGTAGTTCCTCATGAGGCTCAATTTTTAAAAATAGAGTTAAAGCAAGGAAGGAAGGCATTAATTTTCATGTTGAAAATATTTCTAGAAGGAACGTTTCCTCATATGGTCCAACTATTAAATACAGGTGAAATAAGCCAAAAAAGAGAAGCTGATTTTTTTGCGGCAATAAAGTAGCTGAAGAAATGACTCAAGGCACTTTCATGTATAAATACATTTTTTTGTTTTTTCTTACATCTCAATGATATATTTTGATAAGCTGAATAATTTCTATAATCAAATTATTTATTTTAATCTAGTTTATGAATGATCTGCATTCCGTGTTCATTTTTTTATTATAACAGTCAGTATAATCTAATGAGAACACTTTTGGCCCTAACAGAAACAGAATTCTGTTCTTGGATCTGGCTTTCTATGTAACACCAAGTACGTCATTTCTCCTCCATATGTACCTCATTTACTGCAATGTTTCTGTTACATTTCAGACTTTCATATGGTGGGTAGTATCTGTAGCCTGGAAGAATGGTTAGCAAATACACTAATTGCACTTTTGTGGTATGATCTATTCTCCAGGCTTACTATTTATTGATTTAATTGATGCCTGCTGCTTAATCAGAGGTTTTACCCACATGGAACTATTTGATAAGCTTGGCATAAAATGCAAGATCTGTAAAATGTAAACAATGTTCATATTATAAGGACCTATAATCAAACCAACCCTCTAAGTTATTTGAAAATAGTGCAGCTGCATGAGAAGTAGTTTTCTATTTGATCTTTTGCTATGGAATTGTAAAAATACTGTCTTTACTGTGACATCCACATGCTAATATTTGTTATGATAGATCATCTCTTTTTCTTTCTCCTTTTGCTGTCACTTCTCCCACCTTCCTACTATTTTGCCTTACCCTGCTCCCTTCATGGTTATCTTATTCTGGTTCCTTATTTCTCTCACTGAATATCTTATTCTTCTAACTTTTTTCTGATTTTCTTAATTCTGACTGTCTTTCCTTGGACTAATCTGAATCAGACCATACCAAGTATACTGAAATAATATACTGAAAATATACTGAAATATACTGAATATACTGAAAATAATACACTGAAATAATATACTGGAAATACAGCTGGAAATAATCTTGTAGCTTTTGCATTCTTTGGGCACCACAGTTTGGGAAATATGGATTGTATGCCTTTGTAGGCAGGTTCTGTTCAGGATATTTCTTAGGTCTTGCAGCCAGTCATTTTCTGTTCTATTTTTGGCAGATGGTAGTTCCTTGAGAGAAATTATAAGTTTTAATATACGTTTACTTCAAGACCTAGAAAGTTGTATATTGTTAGCACTTTTTAAACAGTGTTTATACAGCTACTATAGTAGAATCATCTGTTGGAGAATAGAGAGTAAAATGTAAATGTAATGAATGGGGCCGTTAATTTCTCCTATTCATCCCAAATAGTCCTTAGAAAAGACATTGAATTTACTGGCGAGTTGTGGAAAAGGTGCTGAACTTCAGCCCTAAATCAGAGCGTATAGTCAAATATCATTTTATTTAATACAAAGAAAAGAATTAGAACAGGTACATCCTTTTACCTTTTTTTGTTTTCTGGGATTATTTATCATAGTTTTAGATGTCATTAGGAGGTAGAACTTTTAAAGGGGTCTGGGATTCCAATTTCTAAAGCAATTTTACAGTAGAAGTTATTAAAATTAAAAAGTTATCTGGAATAACAGGTTGATACGTTCTTCCATATTAAATAGTTGGTGTTTTCCATCTTCAATGTGGCAGTCATCATGTTTCTTTTGGATTTTCTGACATTTTGGAGCTTAAAGTGATATACTTTATGTTTGTGTGTGTGTGTTGTATTTAACTGTTATTTAGCATGTAAATTTAAATCGCTTTGAGAATTTGTCACTGACTTTGTAATATCCTTCAATATATTTGTAGACAACAATGAAGTATTAAGAACCCAAAGCTGAAAATCATTTAGGAGAAAGACACAGATTGTGAAGTTAGATAAACATTTGTCTTCAATATTACTTATATATATTTAATATTATAATTTTTAAGTTGGGAGTGGAGTTGTTTGTTTTTTCTTTGCTATTTTAATTGTGTATTTTAACAGGAAACCACTTAATGGGTATGAACAGAGTTAAAAGAATCAAATATTTTTATTTTAAACATGGTTTTTTTTCATTTTACTTTTTCTTATGTATTGCTCTTATCTTAAAGTGTCTGTATTCCATTCCCTCAAAGATTTCTCCTTATGCATAAAGTTATGTACAGATCCACAGTGTATTCATGAATCTCCTTCTTTTGTTACAGTTAATCAGGCAGCAAAAGAAGACACCGTGGTTTTGAAGATTGGCTCTGTTGCCATGGCTCCCCAGGCTGACAATCCCCTTGGCAGATCTGTCCTTAGGAAAGATATTTACCAGTAAGTTTATTTTCTTATGTCCAATCTTGCAACAATTTTCATCCTGCAAAGACGTACAGTGATCAATAACTTACTTACTGTGGCCTGTAGAAATATTTCTCATTCAGAATCTTTTGATATTTAAAACCAGGTTTTTCTGATTTTCTTCAGTTGTGGGTTTTTTAATTCATTCAGACAAATCAAGTATTTCTGTGAAGTGTTGATGAATAACAGAATGTAAGTACTAAGTCACCGTAAAACTGAAGAAACATAGTTTGGAAAATTTTAGCAGATGTCAAATTTGACCAAATCTCTAATCACATAAGAAAACGAGGTCCTCTGTAGAACCACCACATCCTACTGTAGTCATGTTGTATCAAAGTGAAACATTTTATTAATTTAAGTGAAAGCTATTATTTGAAATGTAGGAATGTGGATGTCATATGGATCAAAGCTGTAAAGAAAAGCAAACTTCTAAAGAGAAATTTCACAGTAAACACTTTCTGTGAAAATGCTATGCTCTGGATATTGTCACTGAGTATTTGCAAACCACACCAAGCATATATGGACAACTAAACTGGTGAACATATGTAATCAACATGATAAAAATAATATATGATTCATACTGAAGTTAGCATTGCTGCCAGACAGAAAAATACAGTTGCAAATAATACCAAGTGAGAAAAGTCACAGAAATACAGATGAACAAGTGTCTTATTCTTCTTTCTGGTCTGTTTGTCAGATGATGTTGTCTCTTCTAAAAAATAAATTCCTACTGCTCTCCAGTAAATGTTACTGCTAAGAAAAGATTCTAATTTGGTGATACATTTACCCTTTAGAGGGTGATGGCTATTTTTTATTTAAATAGATCTAGGAACTTCATTTCTCAGATTTCTCTGATATTTGAGTTATAATTTTTTCCTTTGACTTATGTATGTATGATCTCTTCCTTGTATTAATTTTTTGGGTATTTAATAGTATTCATCCCTTAAATAAGTTTTCATGTAGCTAACTTATATATAATCTTAGGATTCCAGAGCTGAAAGGGGCTTTAGGAATTATCTAACTCAACTTCCCTATTTTACAGATTAGGAAACTGAATAACCAGAAGAATACTGTAGTTGTCCCTGGTGAAACAGTAATAGAGCCAAGGTTACAATTCCTATCTTTCGACTCCCTTAGGATCTAGGGAAATGATTTAATAGAATATAAATTATAGATGAGAATACTTTAATTTTCTAACATTTGGAAATTCTTCCAGATGTCTTTATCTTTTCTACTTCAGAAGTAAGTGGTCCTAAAATAGAGACCTACTTTACTTTTGGTGAAAGAAATCTAGGCTATATTAAGAGATCCTATCACCATCAGTAAAGTGAACCACTGGGATAATTCCTTTCCTCCTGTACCCTTTCCACTTTCTGGCTTTTGCATGAGTTGTATTTTTACTTACTGGGAACAGTTGTGTCAAATTGTTTTTTTAGGGTTTCCTTCTGTGTGCCTTGCGGCTTCTTTTCAGTCATCTTTACTGGTCTTCCTCTTAAACAATCTCTTTGATATTAGTATTTCTTAGGGTCTTCCTTTTATTCTTTTTTTTGCCCAACTCTTCTTGGGTGAGGCTGTCTGCTCCTTTGGCTCAGGACAACTTGAATTCCAAGCATGTTGGGTAACTTGGGTTGCCTCTGTAGACCAAGGTTAGCAATATGTGTTAGAATGTCAAACGTAAAATTCTAGATGCTGGATGGCAAACTCAACCTAATAATTTTTCTTTGAAAGCTCACATTCAAGTCATTTCTAAATAAACAAACTAACAAAAGGTGTTCACATAAGAGTTTATCAAAAATGTTTCAAGATCTCAGTGAAATGCTGTATCATCAATATCAAAGGAGTAACAGCAGAATTAGAAACCACTTTTGAGTGAGGTAATCAGAGTGGAAGTAGCTCAGTTAGAATAAAAGTGAATACACAAAGCAAAAGACCCTGCATACTAGGGCTGATTTTATTATTCCTATGATTTTGTTAACCATAAAATCTCAGTGAACTAGATGCAAAAGTCCACATATTATATGATTCCATTTATATGAAATGTCCAGAATAGACAAACTCAGAGAGACAGAAAGGTTGCCAGGGCCTGCTTGTGAAAGGGGAAGGAAGAGTGGGAAAGGACTTTGTCTTGTGGCTTGGGTGCCAGCTCATCCTCAGTAGAACAGAGCACCGAGTAGGTTCCTAAGGTTTCTGACTCCAGGCCCTGGCTCCTGGACAGCATCTCTTGATGCACTTGGGAGCAGGGGAACTCACCACTCTGAAGGGAAGGACTCAAGCCTGGTTAATTGCAGAGCCCTAGGGCCTTGAATGAACACAGGCCATAGCCAGGCAGTGGTTACCACGGGTGTTGGGTGAGACCCAGTGCTGTGCTGGCTTCAAGTCTGACCCAGCGCAGTCCCAGTGGTGGTGGCAGCCACAGTGCTTGTGTCACACACACACACACATCCCTTCCACAGCTCCAGGCAGCTCAGCACAGAGAGGCTGTGTTTGTTTGGGAGAAAGTAAGGGAAGAGAGCAAGAGTCTTTGCCTGGTAATTCAGAGAATTCTCTGGATCTTATCCAAGACTACCAAGGTGGCACCTCTACCAGTCTGCAAGAGCCACAGTGTTACTGGGCTTGGGTTACTCCCTAATGCAGGTATGGCTGCAATGACCAAAAACTTAGATCACAACACCCAAGCTTCTTCAAATAACTGGAATTCTTTCCCTAGAAATATGGGTACAAACAAGCCCAGACCACAAAGACTACAGTAAATACTTAACTCTTAAATGCCCAGACACCGATAAACATTTGTAAGCATCAAAACCATTGAGGAATATATGAGCTCACCAAACAAACTAAATAAGGTACCAGGGACCAATCCTGGATAGACAGAGATATGTGACCTTTCAGACAGAGAATTCAAAATAGCCATTTTGAGGAAATTGAAAGAAATTCAAAATAATAGAGAAGGAATTCAGAATTATATCAGATAAATTTAACAAACAGATTGAAATCATTTAAAAGAATCAAGTAGAAATTCAGGAGTTGAAAAATACAATTAACATATAAATGCATCAGAATCTCTTAACAGCAAAATTGATCAAGCAGAAGAATTAGTAAGCTTGAAGACAGGCTGTTTGAAAATATACAATCAGAGGAGACAAAAAAAAAGAATGAAGTACACCTACAAGGTCTATAAAATAGCCTCAAAAGGGCATAGCTAAGAGTTATTGGCCTTAAAGACAGGTAGAGAGAGTGATAGGAGTAGAAAGTTCATTCAGAGGGTTATAATAGCAGAGAACTTCTTAAACCTAGAGAAAGGTATCAATTCAAGTAAAGGTTGTAGAATACAAAGCAGATATAACCCAAGGAAGACTACCTCAAGGCATTTAATCATCAAACTCCCAAAGGTCAAGGATAAAAAAGGATCCTAAAAGAAGCAAGCAAAAGAACCAAATAACATACAATGGAGTCAGGTATAGTGGCTTGTGCCTGGGATCCCAACCCTTTGGAAAGCTTTAGGTGGGAGGATTGCTTGAGCCTGGGAGTTCGAGACCAGCATGGGCAACATGATGAGACTTCGTCTCTGTAAAAAAATTTAAAAATTAGTCTGGTGTGGTGGCATACGCCTGTAGTCCCAGCTGTTCTGTAATCTGAGGTGGGAGAATCACTTGAGCACAGGAGGTTGAGGCTGTAGTGAGCTGTGATTATACCCCTACACTCCAACCTGGGGGACAGAGAGAGACCCTGTCTCCAAAAACAAACAAAAACCATACAACTGAGCTGCAGTATGTCTGGCAGCAGACTTTTCGATGGAAACCTTACAGTCCAGGAGAGAGTGATATGACATATTTAAAGTGCTGAAGGAAGAAAAGTTGTATCCTAGAATTGTATATGCAGTGAAAATATCCTTCAAACGTGTTGTAGCAGAAATTAAGGCTTTCTCAAACAAAAGCTGAAAGATTTGATCAACATGAGACCTGTCCTACAAGAAATGCTAAAGGGATTCAGTTCTTGAATCTGAAAGAAAAGGACATTACTGAGCAATGAGAAGTCATCTGAAGGTACAGAACTCACTGGTAATAGTAAGTACCCAGGAAAACTCAGAATATTGTAATACTGTAATTGTGGTATGTAAACTACTCATATATTGAGTAGAGAGACTAAAAGATGAACTGATTAAAAATAATACATAGACAGTACAATAAGATATAAATAGAAACAACAAAAAGTTAAAAAGCGGGAGGACAAAGTTAAAGCATAGAGTTTTTATTTTTTCTTTGCCTGTTTGTTTATGCAATTAGTGTTGTCATCAGTTTAAAATAATGGCATATATTAAATTTGAAAAACAGAAAACTCCTAGGGAACATGGTACTATTCTTTGAATACCTAGCTGATAATGTATCATAGGAAGTAGTTCATTCCTTCCAAAGCTAAGAACAGACCTAGGATCATTCAGTCAGTGGATGTTACAATGACACTAATTGCAGCTCAATAGAATGAAAATCTTTCAGATTATAAAAGTCTAATAATAAATGAGGCTTTTTGTTCTTACTCATTTAACAATTATTTTCGGGGAGCCTATTGTACATCAGGCACTATTCTAGATACTGGGTGTATGTCAGTTTACAAAAGAAAGAAAAATCCCTGTGCTCATAGAACTTACATTCTAATGGGAGAGAGAATTACAAGCTAATAAATAGATCATAGGGTACACTAGAATTTAATAAGTGACATGGAGACAAAGCTGGGAAGGGAAAAAGAAATGGAGAGTTAGAGGTGGACAGCCTGGCTTAGTCAGAAGACGCCTCACTGAGAAATTGCAAGGATCCTGAAGCAGGAAGAAGTAAGAGAAGCCCCTGGTGGCTGGAGCATTGTATGCCGGGCGAATTTAGCACGCTGTCAGGAAAACAACCTTATAGAGGAGCCATATAGGTCATTGTGTGGACTTTGGCTATTAGTTTGAGTGAGACATGGTTGTGGGGGAAGAATTATCC